AAGATCCTTTTAAATCTACATATTAACTTATTTTCAAATTTTGAACATAAATATATTGAAAATAGTAGAATAAAATCACTTAGAACAACTTTTTAAAATTTTGCAAATTTTATATATTTTGCTAATAAAATTTTGCAAAAAAAAGATATATATTAAAAATAAATCAGTAATTGTGTGTAAACTGCTATTCCAAACACATTTACTTAGAAAATAAAAATAGGTTAACATAGTAAGAAAAAAAATTTTACTGTTTTTATATAGTAAACTTTTTTTTTTACTTAGGTAATTTGTTTTTATTTTTTAAGTAAAGTTGTTTAGCATAAAATTTTACATCTATACAGTTTGCTAATTTTCATTTTTTTGAACTTTTTACTAAGTGAAAAATAGAGTTAAAGTTATAAAAACATTTTTGTAAAAAAGAAATAACTTTTTTTTATAACTTTAACCTCATTTTACTTTTAGTAAAAGGCTCGAAAAAGCAAAATTTAGCAACCTGCATAGATATAAAATTTTATGCTAAACAACTTTCTTAAAAATAAAAACAAATTATCTAAATAAAAAAAAAGTTTACTATATAAAAATAGTAAAATTTTTAGTTTATCTATATAATTTTTTTTCTTACTATGTCAACCTATTTTTATTTTCTAAGTAAATGTGTTTAAAATAGCAGTTTACACATAATTACTAATTTATTTTTAATATATATCTTTTTTTTGCAAAATTTTATTAGCAAAATATATAAAATTTGCAAAATTTTAAAAAGTCATTTTATTTTACTATTTTCAATATATTTATGTTCAAAATTTGAAAATAAGTTAATATGTAGATTTAAAAGGATCTTGAGCTTAAAGTTTATAGTAAATTATATGTTTTTATTATAATTTTTATTATAATTTATCATCAGTGTGACATATTCTCTAACTGATAATAAGTAAGTTATATAATAGAATTTTTTAGCAAGTTACAATAAAAATTATGATAATATCAATATAAACTAATTCTACCTTTAACAACTACAGAAATAGCAAGTATGTTTTGTAACAATTATTTTGAAGTAACCCATAATAGGAAACATAATAATTTGAATACAACTAACTCTAACTATATACTTGTATTATTAGAATAGTAAGTAAGTTATTTATAGTAACTTATAACAGAAATTACAGAATTTTTATAGCAACTTGTAATATAACTACCATATATTCCTAAAAATAAGCTACTCCAAAAATAAGCTACCCCTCACTTTTAAGCAAAAAATATAAAATCTTTTTTTATCTAAAAATAAGCTACTTCCTAAATTTTTTAACAGTTTTTATATATAAAAGTCAAAATTGTACTAAGTAAATTTATATTTGTCAAATAATAAAAGTTGTTCAGAATATAAAAATACATATATTTTAAAGTTTTATATAATTTGAATAATTTTTACTAGTCCAGTTTTGCATTTTAATTTTAAACTTAAAATACAAAAGTGTACTAATAAAAAATTATCCAAAATGTTTAAACTTTCAGAATATGTGTAGTTTTAAATTCTGACCAACTTTTATTAATTGTCAAATATAGATTTACTTAGTACAATTTTGACTTATATATATAGAAACTACTTTTATTTAATAAAAAATGACCAAAAACCTCTTTTATCTGAAAATAAGCTACTTCTAAAATTTTTGTATAATTTTTTGCCCAAAAATGGTAGCTTATTTTTGGGAATATATGGTATATGCAGTGTTATTAGAATAGCAAATTTTTTCTATTAGCTAGTAGATTTTTTAATTAAACTTTTTACAATAAAATTTTTTTTTAATATAATCAAAACAATATTAAAATATTCTAGAATAAGTATATTCTATTAGCATTATATTTGTTCTTTTTAATTTCTAATTTTATGAATATAAAAGATATGTTCTATTATTATTGTCTATTATATATTTACTATTTTTATCTCCAATTCTATGAAGATAACAAGATCTATTATTATATATTTTATTATTGTTATTTATAATATATTTGTCCTTTCTAGCTTTAATTTTATAAAAAGTAAGATCTATTATTATATAGTTTGTTATTATTCTGTTTATTTTTTTATTTTCATCTCTATAATAATAATAACAATATCCAATATTATATATTTAATTAATGTTACTTATTATATGCTTATCTTTTTCAATTTTACAATTCTATAAAAATAACAAAATCTATCATATATTCTATCATTGTTATTCATCATATGTTTGTCATTTTAGCTTTAATTTTTAAGACACTTCATTATATATTTAATATTGTTACTTATTATATATTCATTCTTTTTAATATAGTGAGTAAGATCTGTTCTGTCATTATTTCTTATTATATATTCATCTTTTTCATTCCAATTCAATATTTTTTTTCTTTAATAACTGTGTACTAAAATTTTATTAAACATATATTGTTTAAACTAAGCTACTTAAATATTATATTAAACTAAAGCCTGGCTGTTTTTTAAAGATATCCAAGTTGGTTACTATACTAATGTTGACTACTATATCCTATATATAATAAAATACATTTTATGTTATAATCTAATCTGGGCTCAGCTCTTATTCTATTAGAATCTTTTGTTCTCTTTATATTCTTCCTTTCTCTCCAAAAATATAAGATAAAAAAGAGAAACTTTATATAATAAAGTTACAAAAATAACCAGAAAAGAAAAGCAAAAACAACAAAAAGAAAAAGAACCACAGATTTTAAAAAAGAAAAAACATAACAAGAAATCTAAGACCCTAAAGGCACTATTATAATCTATGCATAGCTAGTAAGAATTATATAACAAATACAATATTTGTATATCTTTCTTGTAAAACTTTGCTTTAATATTAAGTTTACTTTCTAACCTTCTCACCAACTCCAGATAGCTTCATTGCCCATTCTAATTTGTATCTCAAGCCAGATGCTACCATTATCCAAGAGCTCATATCTCAAGCTACCTGCTACTATAATTAGAGTTTTTAGGCTGAGTTTTATGAAATAGTACCATATCTGTTTATAAACAAACATGTAGTTACATTCTGCTAATCTATCTGAATTTGAGAAGTAAACAATACTAATCTTTTGAAGAGAGTAAGCCAAATTCCCACTTTTTGCTAAAATTTTTTGGAAGACTAGTAACAAAACAAGAGAAAGTAAAAGATAAACTACTTGACTCAGTAAAAGGAGTGTAGCTTGAAAAAAATATATTTTGTTGTTTTCTTTGTGTTCTTCTTTAAAGTAATAACCTAGAAGCTTTGCTAATAGAGCTAGACAAACCACACTCTACCAAGATATTTTATACAAATGCATTTTCTGCTAGTTATCTTGTCCCATAGAGTAAACATTAATCTCAAGTCAAACCACTATGTAGATCATGGCTCTCTAACAAATTTTAGTTTTTCTACTAGTAAGAATTTTTGGTTCAAGTGATCATTTCAATTTAATAATAACAATATTGATATTCTATTCTATTGGTATTACATATCTCTTTTTAATTTAGCTCTATAAATATAACAAGATTTATTATATATTTTAGCATTATTGCCTACTATATATTTATCAGTTTTAACTTCAATTCCATGAATATAACAAGTTCTATTACCTTCCTTTTTTTTTTTTTTTGGTATTAAGGTGACCTCACTGGCCTGGGACTTTTTATTAGAGCATAGGCAATGTTTTATAGTGTAATAGTACATCAAGCCATTTGACATAATTATTTGACAATTACAAGTTCTAAAGTAATCAAATTTGTAATTATCAAATGATTGTGTCAAATAACTAACTCTGAGAGCTATATTTATATAATAAGTGGAGGCTCCCTATATATAAATTTTTTTTGTTAAAAAATCTTATTTTGCTTTCTAAATAAACTTGTTTAGCATAAAATTTATATATATAAAAACTTATTCAAGAAACAGGTTAGTAATAATAGTAAGTAATACCTAGATTTTAATAGCAGAGGTTTTATCGATTTTTAACAGCCGCCCTGCCTTGATTAGTGCGTCAGGGGGTACGTCAAGTGTAACTCGGATTTGCATGAGGAGAGCATCTTCTTGCGTTGCGAATACAAAGTAAAATTTCCAATTATAGTATATAATTGGAAATTTACTTTGTATTCACAACGCAAGAAGATGCTCTCCTCATGCAAATCCGAGTTACACTTGAAGTACCCCCGACGCACTAATCAAGGCAGGGCGGCTGTAAAAACCTCTGTTGTATAAGCTACTGTCTACTGTGCATATTACTATAGGGGTAATTTTTGGCAGGCGGGCAAAAAAAACCAGCATCCTACTGGAAAAAACCCCATCGCAACCAAACTTCTGTGACTGTCGTCCCGACAGGCCACCCTTGTTGCAAATCAAAATCAAAAAATAAACTGTCGACCGACAGGCCACTAATGATAAACTCAAAAACCCAAAAAATGACTGTCGTCCCGACAGACCATAAAAAACCCGAAATGACTTCCCTAAATAAGATTCTCATTCCAATAGGGTAAATCCCCAATAAACAACTGCTAAGGGGAGGACGAAAAACCAGACAAAATCGGGTTAGCAGAAAAAACAGAACTTACCCTTCCTGGGAAAAAAACCCATTTCCCTTAAATACTAACTAACGATTACTAATCATAAAAGTACGTCATTATGTCATAAATCAAATAATGAATCAAACGATCAAACCATAAATCATAACAATGCAAGAGACTACAGAAAATGCTGCTCCGATATTTTCGTATCGGGCAGCTAAACATTATGGAATATTCGAATTCGTGTAGATCATTTCTATCTACAGGTTCAGAGAAATTATATGATCCAAAGAGTAGGTTTCTAGAACAGTCGTCCAGAATACTCCAAAAAATTTATAAAATATTCCGACAAATTGTATTAAGTTTTTTTGGAATTGGAATTCCGATAATAATTGGAAATTTGTTTATTGGAAGAACTCTCGTGTATACTTGGTGTTACAGTATTAAGTTTGCAATCGGTTTTTTGGAATTGGAATTCCGATAATAATTGGAAAATTGTTTATTGGAAGAACTCTTGTGTATGCTTGGTGTTACGTATATCGGTTACAATTTTCACATTTTCAATCGACGAACTCTTTTAGAATCAAGTTCGTTATATATTGACAACCTAAAACGGCGAGTCGGTCGTTAATCGATTCGAGACCTTTTGTAACCTACATTAGGCTTGGTCGAAATGAGGCGTTTAGATTTGGACGAGGGTGATTTTGGACGTAGGTATACCTTCTTGAAACTTATATTGAAACTGGTTTATGACACACTAACACTTATATTGTCAAACTACAATAATTTTAACCAAACCACGGCTTGAGTTTTTCCCTTGAGCTCGAAACCGGAACGAAATAACCACGGATTCCGCAGTCCGTTGGGAAACTGGAAAACAACCACAACTTGTTCACGGTACGTTGAGATAGTTGGAAAACCACGGCAGTCCTCAGTCCGTCGAGAATCAACCGGAAACACAGTCTTCTTCGAAGTCACGTGAGCAAGTCAATTAACGAACGAAGATCTTTCACTATGCCACTTAGTGATCGATCAGGGTAAAAGGT